CAATAGTATGTCCAGTAGTGATAAGGAAAGTGAGTCATGGTCACTTGGTTCGGTAGAAGCAACAGGTTCTGTTCAAGGCAAGATTAAAAGATTTTCAAGCTTCTCTAAAACTGGAGATGAGGAAGACAACTACGTGGCACCTTGGCATGAACGGGTAGGGGAGGGCAAAAAGGAGAGTCTGTCACTTGATGTTTGGCCATCTCAAACATTAAATGAGGCATTAGAGAATTGCATTCCCAAGGGGAGAAATTCAAATATTAACCGAAAAATAATGAAGGAAATGTCAGATGGATATGGGAGAATGGAGATGACGGCTGCATCTTTTGAAAAAAGTAATGATGCAGGTGGGATTAACGAAGAAGAAGAAACTGGAAAAAACTATAGTATGAATAAAAAAACTATTGTTGAAAAAATGGGCACCAATTTAAAGATGAACCAAACCAGTAATAGAACGGTGGATCAAGGTGAAATTGGGCTAGGTGCAGATGGGCTAGGAAAGAAACACAAAGTAAATGCAAAAGTGACCCAAAACAAGGAAAAGGCCATAATGCACTCTAACGGAAACGAGAACTAGTCCAAAAGTAACAACATTAGGCCAATGATGATGAAGAATAAAAAAATTGGAAACAACACAAGTGAGGTTGATAGCCTGAGATCATTTTTCCAAGATTTGGATAGCAACTCAAGGACAATGCAAGATTGGATGAGGAGGAAGGAAAAACCACAAAAAAGTAAAAGGAGCAGGAAGGCCAAGTCATGTGCGGCTGTTTACAAGGCTGCTAAGCTAATCAAAATAGAAGCAAGGAAAGGAAGAAGAGGAAGATCAAGGGAGAAACAATAGAAAGACATGTCAATGCCAAAGTTCCTTCCCGATGTGAATCCTGCAATTACCGATTAGTTAATAAATGATAGCAATATCAACAATTGCAACAAGGCCATCTTAAAATGCAAGAAGGATTTTGGGGCAAGAGAAATTTGAGAATTTACAAAATCAATTGGTGTTGAGACACAGGGGAATGAGGAAAATATGTTGCGGAGATTGGAGTAATTGGAGGAGAGGGACAGACAATCACAGATGCCCACTATACAGACATGCAACCTTGGAGGAGAAGGTACGTCTCGATGATCTTAGTGTCTTACAATGTAAGAAGAATAGGGTGTGGGTGGAAATAGAGGGAGATTAGGAAACTGGTGGGTAAGGAGCAAGTCAAGTTTCTAATGCTGCAAGAAACAAAGATGGGTAATGTAGATAAAGGCATATGTAGAGAAATGTGGGGTACTAAAAATTTTGAATGGGTAGCTAAGAATGTTGAAGGTAGTGCAAGAGGCCTATTATGTTTATGGAACTGTGAGATCTTTATACTTGATAAGTCATTCCAGGGGCCAAGTTTGCTGGGCATCTATGGGTTTTGGGGTAGTGAGAGGGTCCCTTGCTACATTATAAATGTTTATGCCCTTTGTGACAGTAATGGTAAGAGAGATTTGTGGTGCAATCGGAGCAATATTGCCAATAACAATGTGACAACTATGTGTGTCGAAGGTGACTTTAATGTCACTATTTCACAAGAGGAAAAAAAAGGGTGTCGAGGCAATCAAAAGGAGATGGAGGGTTTTGAAGAGTTTATAGCAGAAACAGGTTTGATTGATTTGCCAATGATTGGGAGAAGTTTCACTTAGTATCAACCAAACGAGAAAGCTATGAGTTGCCTAGATAGATTCCTAATGAATGAGGAATGGCTTACAACATGGCAGTGTTTGAAGCAGTGGGGATTAAAAAAGAGCATTTCAGACCATTGCCCGATGCTGTTGAAAAATGAGATGAAGAACTGGGGACCAAAGCCATTTCACTTTTTCAACGCTTGGCTAAGGCATCCAGAGTTCAAAGAAAAGGTAGCAGAGGAGTGGAGAACAATGGAGGTGCAAGGAAGGGACAGTTTTATCCTCTAAGAGAAACTTAAAGCAACTAAAGCATTCCTCAAAAAGTGGAGCACAGAGCATTTTAGTGAGCTAGACAAAACAATAGAAAAATGCAAAGAGCTGATCTTCGAATTAGATGTTAAAGGCGAAGCTCACACACTGATTGAAGAGGAGATAAAGTTGAAAAAAAAAAAGTGAAGTGGATCTATAGCAGAAGCTGCAAGCAAAAGATTGCATGTTGAGACAAAAAGCAAGAACCAAGTGGCTTAAATTTGGGGATGCAAATTCAAAGTTCTTTCATCAATGCATCAAAGGTAGATGGCATAGAATGAAATAAACTACTTGGAGGTGGGAGACAAACATTTGATGGACATTATAGATTTGAAAAAAGGTGTTGCAGAGTACTTCAAGGTACTGTTCATAGAGGAGGAGTGAGAAAGACCAAGATTGGAAGGAATTGATTTTAAGAAGGTGACACCTGAACAAAATGTAATGTTGGTTTCATAGTTCACAGAAAAGGAGGTAAAGGACGTAGTGTGGGATTGTGATAGCTCCAAGGCACCAGGACTAGACGATTTTAATTTTGGTTTTCTAAAAGCAATGTGGGAGACAGTGAAAAATGATGTAATAAGTTTTGTCGATGATTTTCAAAAGAACGGGAAGCTAGTTAGAGGTTCAAATGCATCATTCATTGTTCTAATACCAAAGAAGGAGAATCCAGTAAAAGTCGAGGATTATAGGCTAATTTCTTTAATTGGTTGTATGTACAAAATCATTGCAAAGTTACTAGCAAACAAGATGAAGAAGGTGATGGAGGGATTAATAAGTGAACAACAATCTGCATTCATACATGGGAGATAGCTAATGGATAGCATTGTTGTGGCCAATGAAATCATTGATGAGATCCAAAAGAAGAAGAAAAAGAACCTCATTTTCAAAATTGACTTTGAGAAGGCTTATGACAAGGTTTCTTGGGAATTTTTAGAATATATGATGAGGCGTATAGGCTTTGACAGTGTATGGAGGAGGTGGATTATGGAGTGTCTTTGCTCAAGCATAGTTTCCATCTTATTGAATGGCACTGCAACAAAAGAGTTCAGTGTGAGCAAGGGCTTGCGACAAGGTGACCCTCTTTCGCCCTTCTTGTTCCTTATTGTTGCCGAGGGACTTTTACGGCTTTTAACCTTTACTGAAACAAAAGAATTGTTTAAAGGAGTTACAGTGGGTTTGAAGGGGCTAAGAATCTCTCATCTTCAATTTGTGGATGACACTATCATGTTCGAAGAAGTGTCAGAAAGTAAACTCAAGGCAATTAAAAGCATCTTGAGGATTTTCAAAATGGTTTCTGGACTCAAGATCAACTACAATAAGAGCAAGCTGTATGGAATGAACATGGAAGAGGAAGTTTTACAACGATGGGCTATCTTCCTAAACTGCAAAATAGGTAAACTACCCATGACATACTTGGGAATGCCAATTGGAGCAAGATTGCGAAGCAAGGATACATGGGTAGGACTAGTAACCAAAGTAAGGAGAAAGCTGTCTGGTTGGAAAAACAGGTTCCCATCTTTGGGGGGGCGTATTGTTCTTATAAATTCCATGCTGACTAGTCTTCCTGTCTTCCTTATGTCTACTTATATCCTACATGTTGGAGTGATAAAAAAAAAAATTGATACTATCAAAAGAACATTTTTGTGGGGAAGATGTGAGGAGAGAAATAAGATTGCATAGGTAAGGTGGGAAAAAGTCTGTAGGGATAGCAAACAAGGAGGGTTGGGTATAAAGGACCTTAGATTGTTTAATATAACATTGCTAAGGAAATGGTGGGGGAGATTGGCAAATGAGAAAGTAGGCTTATGGAGAAGGGTGTTAAATGATAAATACGGAGGGGAAGGGGTAAGTTGAGGGAAGTGGATGAGTGGAGTGCAAAAAATGGGATCCAAATGATGGAAGAACATTTGCAAAATCAATGAGATGATAGAGGGGAAACGGGACTAGGTTAAGTCCGGTTTTGAGATGGTTATAGGTGAGGGTGAAAAGGTTTCATTTTGGAGAGATGTGTGGACAAGGCCTTGTAGCTTAGATGGATTGTTTCCTCGGTTATTTTCTTTGTCCAAAGATAATGAAGGCACTATGCAACAGATGGGAGAATGGATCGATGAAAAATGGAGATGAAGGCTAAGATGGAGGACAAGACTTTTAGCATGGGAGCTGGAACAAGAAGCACAACTCCAGAACATATTACACAATGTGCAAATCTGCAAGGATGTTGAAGATAGATGGTGGTGGAGATTTGAAAAAGATGGCAATTACACAATAAAATCAGC